CGGCCACCTGGCTGGCGGAAGCAGCTGCGGCAGTCGAGGTCGCAGCCTGAGTGTAGGGGGCGCGCACAGACCCCGGCATTGGCGCGGACGCGTGCGCGGAAGCGAGTCCCGCCACGCACACGCTTCTGCATGCACAGGGTCACTTACACGCACGTGCGCACAGACACGCGCGCCGGCGCACGGCTTCCAGGACAAGGAGAAGGAAACGGTGGCATAGGGGGGACCCGAAATAGATGTTCGTTAGGGCGGGCCCCGGGGGCTAGATACTGAATCTCAGAAGGTGGGGGCGGGGGCCTTTGAAGAAGCCACAAATAGGCCCGCCTCCAGCTCTACAGGTGCGGGAACTGGGCCTCCAGGGGCCGGACGTGCCCAGGTCCCGCCCCAGGGCTAGAGTTTCCCTCCCGTGCAGGACGCTGCCCGCCCCAGCCTGGTCTTGTAAACCTGGCTGGAGACAGGGAGGTGGCTCGACGGGTTTTTTCTACAGAAAAGGAAAGTGTTATTGTACTCAGTGACTCCTGAGGCCTATTCCAGTTGTGACTTTTTATGAAGAAAGAACTGGGCCCAGAGGCCATAAGAAGAGTTGGGAGCTGAAAAAAAAAAACCTTGGTTCCAGGTTTGGTCCCAATCACAGGTTCTTCCTGGTTCAAAGATCCCATTGTTTATTTGCGGTGCTGCCTGCCATGGGATGCCAGGGGCCAAAGCCTGACCCCACGGGATGCCTGGAGTGGGGAAGGATGTAAAGCAGGAGGACATGGTTATGGGGGCCCCAGTGCCAGCCTCTGGGAGCAGAGGAGGCCCCAGGCATTGCCCAAATGGGGAGGCTGCTGGGATGGGCGGCAGATGGGGGTCCTGGAGGCTAGAGGGCGATGAAGCAGGAGCCCACGGCTCCAAAATGGGTCAAATTCAAGAAGGGGCGGCCATGATGAGGCCTGTGTGATGGAATTGTTGCTGGAGACAGTGGAGAACACAGTTGTGGTCGTGGTTCGGGCCACGACTCAGAATGTAGGGTCAACAGAGTCAGGAACACCCATGTCGGGGTTAAACGAGCTGGTATCTACTTGTGGTCCTCTTGCAAACTGACCTTGGGATCAAATGACCCAGTGCTGCCTCTCCCTAGCCGTCTTATCTTTGGGCCTCAAATTTCTCATCTGTAAAATGGGAACAACAGCTCCTCCACAGGACTGTTTTGGGAATTGAAAGTGCGTATAAGTCCCCCTTCCATCCTTCCTTCCCTGGCAGTGGGGCAGGGATGAATTCCCACCTCCATTCAGCCCCTCCCCCTTTGCCACTTCTCAAAGTCCCTGGCACTTGCTCCCCAGGATACCTTCCGAGTCCTGCTTTCTTGTGAGCAGGTGGAGTCCGGTGGAAGGAAGGCTGGAGAAGCAGCGCCGCCTGGTGGCCAGTTGCAGGACGGCCTGGTCCGTCCCTGAAGACAGCCCAGGCTAAGCGGATTAGCGCCTAATGGCGTCTGCCAGTTAGCAGCCTCCCAGGGGACTGACCGTGGGGCTTCACACAGGGAGGCCTTCCCTTCTGCCTCAGTTTCCCCCTGCACCGTCTCCTCTGCCTTCTTATGGCCCAGCTTCTTTGGCTTCAACCGGCTTGTCCCACTTCTGCCCCGGAGGATTCAACCAACTTGGCGTTTATACTGTGCTTTGTACTTTCCAAAGCCCTTTGACACACATTACTGTCCTCCCTGGGTATCCATGGAGGACTGGTTCCAGGACTTCCCGCGGATACCAAAGTCCGGGGATGCTGAAGTCCCTGGTATAAAATGGTGTCGTGTTTGCGTATAGCCTAGCACGGCCTCCTGTACACTTTAAATCATCTCTGAACTACTTATAATGCCTAATACAATGTAAGTGCCATGTAAATAGTTGTTATACTGTATTGTTTAGGGAATCAGAAGAAAAAAAAGTCTACATGTTCAGTACAGACGCAATTTAAAATTTTTTTTATTTGATCCGCGGTTGGTTGAATCCACGGATGTGGAACCCGCGGAACCCACGGACCCGGAGGGCCGCCTGTACTTGTCCTGCGGCGTCCTGCTTCCGGTGGTGACGGCGCTAGAGGGATGGAGGATCGTTGTTCAGAGCGTGGTTCCAGCACCAGGGCCTAGTTTGGATTCTGCCTCTTCCATCCAGCTGTGTAACCAGGGCAACGTTCAAAACATTGAATAACCAGTAGGACAGGAATTGGCCAATCAGAATAAACGTTCTGTAAACACCAAGTACAGCCAAATCAGTATATACTTGCCGAAGATTCTGGAATAACCTTTACCTCACTGGGCTTCGGTTTCTCCATCTGCAATATGGGGACGGTGATCGTGCCAGCACCACCGTATAGGGCTTTGAAGCTTGAATAAGTTAATACATGAAAGGGATAGCCCAATAAGTGTTAGCTTCATTCCTGGTCCTCCCTCCTCTCTGGGAGAGGTGAGTCACCTCTCAGTCTCAATGACTCAGGGTGATTGCCACTTTTAAGGGAAACTCCCCAACTGAGCCACTGTGTGTACTCCAGCCTCTCCTCCTGCCTCCCCCACCTCCCTCTCAGCTCTTCTCTGTTTCGTCTTGAGCAGCCTGTGGCTCCTACAAAGCCCTCTGTGGCTGAACGTTTCCTTTCTCACTGTGGTCCTGATCCTTCTCTTGTGCCCCAGACGGCCCCCCGAGCTGTCTGATGGCTCCCACCTTGCTCAGAATAAAAGTGGATTCTTCCGGATTCTCTTTCAAGGCCCTGCATCATCTGGTCCTGCCTCTGACCTCTTCTCCCATCTCTCAGCTTCCTTCCGGACTTACCTTTTGTTTCCTGGAAGCCCAACTTCCTTCCCACCGGACAGCCTTTGAAGTTGGCTGGTTAATGTTCATCCTAGAGACTGGCGAGTGCCTGCTCTCTTATTCAGACATTGCTTCCTCAGAGAGACCTTCCTTGACCCAGAGGAAGTTTGATTTAAAGCAGCTGTCCCTAGCCATGATCAGATATTCTTTACTGCATCATTGTTTTATTTATTTTTATAGAACTTCTTTTTTGTTGTTGTTTTGGTGGTGTTGGGGGTTGCTGGCCAGTACAGGAACCAGAACTCCTGACCTTGGTGTTACAAGGCTGCACTCTAACCAGCATAACTAAGTTCAGTGTTGCTGCATTATATTTTTGGTTGCCTTTTGCCTGCTCCCCTGCCAGACTGAACTGAGTATTCGTCTGTCTTATTTTGCTTTGCCCTCAGCACCTAGAACAGCGTCTGGTGCATAGTAGGCCTTCAGCAAGGAGCTGTTGAATGAATGAAAGAATGGCTGTTTTAGGGCATTTGAAGAGGTGGGAGGTGCCCATCAAGGCCCCACATAGGTGAAAGGAGACTTCGTGGAAGCAGCTGGGCTTTGGAGAGACTAACATGCAGGAGGTCTATCAGGGAATGCTCCTGGGGTCAGCATCCGTGGAAGGCATGGGAAGGCAGCAGCAGCGGGCAGAGGGAGAAGTCGGGCTGTGATGGAGTCCAAGGAAGGCTCAGCAGATCCCATGGCAAGCTCCGGAGCAGGGATGGTCTTTCATTATTGTCCTGAATTAGGGCAAGGGGACTGGACTTTCCTACATCTGCATTTATCAGTCACTGGATGCACCCAAAAAGGGGGAGTTGTAAGCTTGGGCAAGGCGTTTTATTTAACTGGAGCAGTCTGCACACGGATCTGAGATCTGAGGGCCACCTTGTCTGCCGCCAGCAGCACTGGGGAGTAAGTCCTTCAGTCCTGCGGGGACTCACCTGGACAGGAGGGGAGGTTCAGATAAGCTGGAAGAAGGTGCAGGGCCGTGNTAGCCCATCCCCCCCCACCCCCGCCTGTGCCTTGGCCCATCTCCTAGCCTAGAAAGCCCAGAGCCATCCCTGTCCCTGCCTCCCTCAGCCCCATGGGTAGCTGCTTCTCTCCTCCCTGAGCTCTAGGGCACCTCTCAATGTCTCTCACCCCATCTGCCTGCAGCCTCTGGCCACCCACCCATCTCCAATGACACTGCCGGATTTATCTTGCGAAACACAGGCTCTAACACTCCTCATCTCAGAGAAGCAGTGGCCTCCACGCTCACTCCTGCCTCCTCTTTCCCAGCCTTGTCCTCCCCTACCCCCAATCAGAAGCCTCCTCCGTGCAGCTGGCTTCAAGGACTGTCTCTCCTTTAAACACCCTGCCGCACCCCGCCCATGTCTCCCACCCTGCCACCCCCACCCCGCTTTTTGCTGCCTGTGACTGCTTTCTCTGAGGTCCTTGAGTTATTCTACCCTCCTGAAGTGCTTCTTAAACTTGATCATGCATGAGAATGATGGGGAGATCTTGCTAAATTGCAGTTTCTGATTCAGTAGGCCTGGGATTCTGCATTTCCTATGTGCTCCCAGGCTGTGCTGATGCTGGTCTGAGGGCCACACTTGGAGAGGCAAAGCTCTAGATGATCACGGCAGAAACAGAAGTGTCCACCCACCCATCAGTGCATGTTGATTGAGCACCTACTCAGCGCAAGGCAGTACGGGGATCCAAACAAGCGCAAGGGCTGGACTCTGACCCTGAATAGCAGGCTGTTGCACAAATGCAGGTTAAAACTAATGGTCAGGCCACAGAACCCTTCCAGAAATGCTTCCAGAAGTGCTCACGTGCCAAATGGTCGGTGGTACATGTGATGAACTCATTCTCTGCCTGGCAGTCAGTGACGCTTTAAACAGGGAAAGGTCCCATGACTGCCCTGCTTGGAGCTGTCTGATGGCTCCCACCTTGCTCAGAATAAAAGTGGATTCTTCCGGATTCTCTTTCAAGGCCCTGCATCATCTGGTCCTGCCTCTGACCTCTTCTCCCATCTCTCAGCTTCCTTCCGGACTTACCTTTTGTTTCCTGGAAGCCCAACTTCCTTCCCACCGGACAGCCTTTGAAGTTGGCTGGTTAATGTTCATCCTAGAGACTGGCGAGTGCCTGCTCTCTTATTCAGACATTGCTTCCTCAGAGAGACCTTCCTTGACCCAGAGGAAGTTTGATTTAAAGCAGCTGTCCCTAGCCATGATCAGATATTCTTTACTGCATCATTGTTTTATTTATTTTTATAGAACTTCTTTTTTGTTGTTGTTTTGGTGGTGTTGGGGGTTGCTGGCCAGTACAGGAACCAGAACTCCTGACCTTGGTGTTACAAGGCTGCACTCTAACCAGCATAACTAAGTTCAGTGTTGCTGCATTATATTTTTGGTTGCCTTTTGCCTGCTCCCCTGCCAGACTGAACTGAGTATTCGTCTGTCTTATTTTGCTTTGCCCTCAGCACCTAGAACAGCGTCTGGTGCATAGTAGGCCTTCAGCAAGGAGCTGTTGAATGAATGAAAGAATGGCTGTTTTAGGGCATTTGAAGAGGTGGGAGGTGCCCATCAAGGCCCCACATAGGTGAAAGGAGACTTCGTGGAAGCAGCTGGGCTTTGGAGAGACTAACATGCAGGAGGTCTATCAGGGAATGCTCCTGGGGTCAGCATCCGTGGAAGGCATGGGAAGGCAGCAGCAGCGGGCAGAGGGAGAAGTCGGGCTGTGATGGAGTCCAAGGAAGGCTCAGCAGATCCCATGGCAAGCTCCGGAGCAGGGATGGTCTTTCATTATTGTCCTGAATTAGGGCAAGGGGACTGGACTTTCCTACATCTGCATTTATCAGTCACTGGATGCACCCAA